CAACAAGAGAAGCTACTGCAACGAGAAGCCTGCACACCACGTCTACAGAGCAGCCCTCACTCGGTGCAACTAGAGAAAGCCCATGTGCAGCAATGAGGACCCAGCACAACCAATAAAATTTTTAAATTTTTTAAAATAAAATTATTTTTAAAAAAAGGAAAGAACCGAGAGTCTAGCTCTTCTCTGGAAGCTTGGGCAAGTCCTCTCTTTGCTCTGAAAACCCACCCACATCCTTAGTCGGTCCAACTGCTCTGCCACTGCTGGTCACTGGCCCCTGACAAGTCCAACGATAGCAGCCTCCAGGAAAGAAGGCTTCCTCCTTCTCTCTGTCCCCCTGCCACCCATCCTCTGAGCAGCAGCCAGAAGGCTCTTTAAAGCCCTAAATCATGTCGTCCACCCTACTTAGCTGCTTCCTCTTCTGTAAAGTGGGAGTCATAAACCCTGCCTCACCTCCCTTAAGGGTTGTTGTCGGTAGCACAGATAGAAAAGCCACAAAGACACAGAAAGGCCCCAGTAGGCTGCAGGAATGGAATATTACCACGGGAACACGGATGGCCACAGGCAGAGGGCACTCAGGCGGAGGTCGTGTCAGTTCCGTCCATCATGCAATGACATGCAAAGCCCTCACCCCCGCGGCCAGGCCCCCACCCCCTCCCCTGGCTCTGATGCTCCAGCCGCAGGCCATGTCCACCTCCTCCTTCCAACACCACAGGCCCTCCTCCTCACGGCACCCACCACTCCTCTGCCTGGAACACTCTCTAGCTTGTTCACGTGGCTGCCCCTTCCCCTGGTCTTGGCTCCAATGCCCCGCCCTCAGAAGCCTCTCTAGGGTCCTGGCAATACTGGCTGTCCACACCCCACCCCCTCAGGACTTCTCCTGCTCATGACCTTTACTTCTCAGTTGCCTCACTGATGGGATTATGTCTACAGCAGCAGCCTCCCCAACTTCCCAAGAGCTGGTTGGTGCCTGATGTGTCCACGGCTTGGCCCCAGCACCAAACTGCACATGGGTCCCAGCAGATGCTCAGGAAACATTTCTGAGATGAACACGTGACAACTTGGGGGCATGTTTCAGGACCACAGAAGAGCGCCTGGCATCAAGGACCAGGTCTCAGCCCACATAAGAGGGTGTGAGGAAAGATGCTCCCACACTGCACTCTCACCAGGACGGCCCTCCTCCCCACCCTTCCACATCCTACCTGCCAGCTCCTCCAGGAAGCTCTCCCTGACTACACACCCACCCCCATCTCTCAGCTCCCATTGCCCATTGTGAGCACCACAAAATGGGACTCTCCATTCTCTTCCACGGCATGCTGTTCCCAGCAGTGGCTATCCTATGTCCTGGGTCCTGCTGCCTGGCTCCAGGGAAGAGCCAGACACATACTTGCTAAGGGAACAAATCGGCTGCATCACTTCACCCTCTCACCCTGGCCAGCTCCTTGTTGATGGGACCAAGGATGGTACTCAACAAGCAGGCACACAAGGTGGAAAGATGTCTAAACATTATAGTATTTATTTCTGAGCTGGGGGACTGAATATAGTTATCTATCTTCTTTTTTGCTTATTCACCACTTCTAAATCTCCTACAACAAACATCATTACTTTGGGAATGTTTTTAAGTACGGTTATTTGCAGTAGTTTCAAAGCTGGACAAAGGTCACAGCTCCCCACCCAGTGTAGCCCCCACCTCACCCACGCCTAGTCCCCCTGCACACCCTCAGCTCGATGCCTTTGCCACCTGCATGCCCTCTGCCTGTGGTCGTTCATGTTCCCATGAAAATTACTCCATTCCTACAGCCTGGCGGGGTTTTCTGTGTCTTTGTTGTTTCTCTGTCTTTGCTCCTGACAACACCCCTCGAGGGAGGTGAACAGGGTTTACGGCTCTCACTTTGCCGAAAGAAAACCGCTAAGCAGGGCCGGCTATGTGAATTTCCCCAGGCTGCCTACAATGCGGGAGACCCAGGTTCAATCTCTGGGTTGGGAAGATCTCCTGGACAAAGAAATGGCACCCCACTCCAGTATTCTTGCCTGGAAAGTCCCATGGACGGAGAAGCCGGGTAGGCTACAGTCCATGGGGTCGCAAAGAGTTGGACACGACTGAGCGACTTCACTTTCTTTTCTTTCACTTTCATATGGCTTAGCAGAGGCAGAAATCTAGTTTCTGCTGCATGACCCATCACCTCATGTCTTTGGCGGGTCACCCAGACCCATCCCTTCACACAATCTCTGCTCCTTAGCCTCTTTAAAACTAGGATGAGGTCAATTTAAAAAAATTAAAAGGGGCTTCCCTGATCCAGTGACTAAGACTCCGCACTCCCAATGCAAGGGGCCTGGATTCAATCTCTAATCAGGAAACTAGTTCCTGCATGCCCCAACTAAAGATCCCACTGCTGCAACTAGGACCCAGTGCAGCCAAATAAAGAAATAAATATTTTGATAAAATTAAATGAAGCTATCTGGGATCTGAGATCACAGGAGACCTTCACCAGCTGAATATCTTTCTGAAATGTTTCCATTTTTTCTAAACTGAAAAAAATGATTAAAGGTTAAAAGCAGAAGGTGAATGAATGTTTGGAAATAATGCCATGTGTTCAGCAGTGGGCTGCCTCTGCGAGGCAGGCCTTGAGTTCCAGACTTCTGCCTGCAAACGACGGGGAGCCCCCAGAGATGGAACTCGAAGTGGGACAAGGGCAGGCGGGGCAGAGCAACTGGGCAGCCAGCTGAGGACCTGCAGTGAGTAGGGGCCAAGGTCAGAGGAAGGGGATCACCCTGCCGGTGGACCCCTGGCTTGGGGGAAACTGCAGGTGAACCGCAGGCCCCCCACTCTCAATGAGGGGCAAGCGAGCCTCCCTCTCAGCTCACCTGACAGGTGGAGAACAGAGAGGGGGCTCCTGCCTGCTCTGCGGCCAGCAAAGACCCTGGCACGTGTCACCAGATGCTCCAGTAGGGCCTGCAGGCTCCTGGAATCTGGGACGCTCAGGAAGGAAAAGGGCCCTTTCCAGCACCCCAGTTGTCTGCCTCCAGGTTTAGGGAACCCCTACCTCAGGGGCTCCCCATGGTGGGCCAGCTGTCCTGAGAGGATGCTCTGCCGATGTGGTGGGACTTTAGATTGGAGATGGGGCAGGGGACTACAATGGGCATCCTGAGGAGAAGTCAGAAAATCTGAACATAGATTATATTTTGTTGAATAAATAAGCTCACTTCCTTGGATGTCAAAAATGTGGAAACGAGGAGAATGTCCTCATTCTGAGGAGACACAAGCTGAAGGGTTTACAGGTGCAAGATCCTGACATCTATGAATTTCATATGGTTTAAGAAGTAGGGGGAGAGGGAACAAATACTAGCAACTGGTGAGGAGGGACTTCCGTTCTCTTCTTTCAACTTTTCAGTAGGTTTGAAATTTTTCAAAATAAAAAATTGGTATTTAAAGCATTTTTAAAATTAAAACATGTTTAAATATTTAGCTACCTTATAAGAAGCTACTTTTCCACACATTCCCCTCCCTGAAGCCTCAGAGAAGGCATCTCATCTGGAGGGAGAAAGTCTTCAGTCCGCACATGCAAAGTGCTTGAGCCCTATGGTTTTCTTTCTTTCCATTCTCATTAGCTGCTAGGACCTGAAAGTCAAGGAATTTCCAATCCAACTGCAGATCTCCAGAAAACCCAAGTATGCCCAACAGGAGGGTGCTGCGCGATGCCCCTGGAGGGGCCCCTGCTACCCTCCAGGCCTGTGGGCCACGTGGGGACAGTGCTCCAGGTTGAGCCCTCGTCCTGGGTCAGCCCCACAAGCGCCGTATCCGGTCCACTTGTGTCCTAGCACCTGTGGGTCTTCCATCTTTCCCAAGCGTGTCCTCTTCCCCCAGGCCCCAGCAGCCCAGACAGGGCCACATTGTCTCAGCACGCACCGACCCTCTGAGAAGAGGGTGGCCCACCTCCCTCATTGTGACCACTCCATGGGGCTGGCTCCAGCCCCTGGAAAGCCTTTCTCTCTTGGGCTCAGCCCCTGCTTCCCTTCCTGTCCTGGAGCATGTATGTGGCTTCCTGGTCCCAAGGCAGGACTGGCCTCCTCCAAAGAAATCTCCCTGGTGGATATTCTGCCACCCTTGAACCACTGGCCCAGCTTCTCAGCCTGGGAAAAACCTCCAGTAAATGCCCACAGTGCGGACTTTCCCAGGTGGTTCCGTGGTTAAGATTCTGTGCTTTCACTGCAAGGGACACAGGTTCAATTCCAGGTTGGGGAACTAAGATCCCACAAGATACACAGCCCAAAAAAAAAAAGGAATGCCCACACTGCCTTCAGCCCCTCTCCCTCCCTTCATCTGTATTAAACAAACCAGATGAGGGACAGGACAGCTAGCTGAGCGTGTGGCTGCCTACAGCAAGGGCCACACTCCTAATCTCCCCCGCATCTACTTGGGCCAGGTGACTAATCCTAGCTAATGAAACATGAGGGGCAGTGTCCTTGGCAAATTCCGGATCCTTCCCTATAAGCCCCATTTACTCCTTTCCTCCAGCCTGCTGCCTGGAACACAGGCATGATGGCTGACATTTTGCAGCAGTCTTGAGCTGTGAGCACATGAAGCCACACCCCGGGAACCTGTGTAGCAGAATCCACATCGTGGCCTGGACCGCAGAGCTCCAAGCTCGGATAGGACACAGAAATAAACTTCCATCTTGTGTAAACCACTGTCATTTGGCTTTTCCTATTACTTGCAGCCAAATCTAATCCTGACTAATGCACTCTGTTATTTTTAGGGATGGCCCTCAATGACCACAAGCTGCAAGGCACAACTTCCTTCCTCCTCCTTTCTCAGGAGAACATCAAGTTCCCTCTGGTCGTGCTCAGGCAGGTCAACAACACCAGGATCCCATGAGTCCAGCCCATGCTGGGGCCACAGCAGCTCAAAGAATACAGAAGACGCTGTCCATGGCCACCAGGGCCCATGGGGTAGCTGAGGATATGCACAAATGTCACGCCACCATTGACTGACAGACCATGTGATGCAGAAGCCTTCTCCAAGTCATCTGAAGAAATCTAGAAGGTTCCAAGCTGCTAGATGTTTGTTCCATCCTATAGATAGAGGCTTGGGCTCCACTCCTCCAAAAAGGAAGACAGAGACTATAAATTGTCCCCATCTGGAGTCTCTCCGAGTCCCTCTCGAGGCCTTTCTGATGAGGAGAACTCTGCAGAAAACAAGCAGGTATTATCTGTCTGGGAGGGACCCTGCCTATAGGTTCTGTCGAGTAGGAGGGGAGTATAGACATCTCCGGGGAGGCATCAGTAAACCCTGGGAAGGACATTCCTTCAGGCACATTCCTTCTGTGCCTGAAAGAGGCTGAAGCTCCTCTCCATCTAGGATTAGGAGTAGTGGGAGGGCCCTGGAGAGAGCAGAGTTAGAAGTACCTGGATACCCTCACATGCCCAGTAATGGTGCTCCAAGAAGCTGGCCATTTGGGCTTTTCAAGGTCAGCAGAACCTACAGTCTCCTGACACCACACCAAGGGCCCTGACCCTGCCAACACTCTCCTGGCTGCTTGCAGGGACTGGGCTCCAAAGGGCCAGTGGGAACTTACACTTGAACCCCATTTCTGACCTCCAGCAATGCCACAGGGACCTGAAGCATCATTTTAAGGAGCTGGGAAGAACGATGACCCAATTCTGGGGTTTGTCCCCACCCGTCCCAGCCCTGTGGCCTCCAGTCTAGACTCCCTTGCCTGGCCTTCCAGCCTCCCGTTCCCACCCTCACCATCCCCTATTTACCCTCCACACCTCTGACACTCCAGGCAAAGCCAAGGTCTCAGCTGCCCCATGGGAAGGAGCAGGTCAAGCCGCAAGAGATGTTCCCCTCCAGCACAGGTTCTCTGAGAAGCCTCAAGTTCCACCTAGCCCTCTGTGGGTTACACTTGATGTCCACCTAGGAAGTAGGAGGGCTGGTCAAGACTGGTAGGACGAGATTTTAGCAGCTCAACCCTCTGTGCAAAATCAATCTTTCACAGAAGTTCAATGTATAAAACAGCTAGAAGCAGAGCTACTGTCCTGACCACCAGCCCAGGAAGAAGGCTGCCAAGCTTTTGGTCCCCAGACCCACTGTGGGGCCCCTCCTAGGGAGGAGCACCACCAGAGCTGATGGCCAGAGATGCTCAAGGCCCTTGACTGCTGGAATCTCCCAGGATGCATCCGGCCCTTCCCTGCCTCCATGCCTCTGCCCTCCTGGTCCTACAACCAGGAATGCCATCCAAGACCATGCAGCAGAAATGTCCTCTTCCCCTCCAAACCTTCCAACACACAGCCTGGACCCCAAATGACCCTGACCTTGAACCCACTGGACTGGTGTTTGGTAAGTACAAGCCTCATCTCCCCACTCTGGATCTGATGCTCCTCCGCGCCGCCCCCCCCCAACCCCCACCCAGGGTAGAATCCACAATAGTTGTAGGTTCCGAATGTCACTGTGCTAAACGAATTGCACATCTACTATCATTTCAGCTTCAGAACAACCGTATGAGAAAGGCAGACACACAAGCTTTTGTGCCATTTAACAGATGGAAAAACTGAGGCTCAGAGAGTTCACTACATGACATAACAGAGCCAGGCCTCTGGTTCCGCAGCCTGGGCCGTTTCCGCTGCACTGTCCACCCATCACGCTCCCATTTCCCCTGAAGCCAGCCTCACTTTCCCAAAAGACACTGGGAAGCTTAACCCAGGGACCTGGCGGCAGGCAGAGAACAAGCTGGACCCAGGGAAGAGTGCCCCTTCCAGGGCCACAGCCTCTCACGGACCCCTAGCAGCCAGATGCCTGGGGCGGGTAACAATGGAGCTAAAAATAGGGCAGGAGGCTAAGTGGCCAGCTGCAGGAAACATCTGTCTCAGCCACAGAACAAACACAGAGGAAGTCACCATGCTCCAGGATTCCCCTACTGTGGGGCCAGGGGAGAACTGGGGAGGAGGGGAGAGAGGGGGGTTTCAGATTTTCAGCCTGGACCCAGGGCAGGGGCTCACACCAGCCCACCCCCAGCCCTGGGTCTCATTCCCCAACATCCAGCACACACACACATATGCAGACACGGGACAGGGTCTAAATTGCCCTTAAGCACCAACATGTATCTTAAGTTAGAGTCACACCCACCTCTAAGACTCCAGTCTGTCCCTCTCATTTTACAGAAGAGCCAGCTGAGGTCCAGAGACCTGCCCGGTCACGGAGACAGTGGAAGAAAGAGCCAGGACCGGGGGCCTCCTAGCCTTCTCCCTCACCTCCCTGTGCATCTGCCTCACTTTTCTGAGCAGGGAAGACCCTGACCAGGAAGAGCTCTTCTGCTCCAATAAATGAAGCACAAGGTCAAAGTGTTCTCAGGTACTAAGACATCATTGCCTGTCTCACCACGAGGAGCAAAGGCCACAGTGGGTGAAAGTGCTAGACGCTCAGCAGGAGACTCAGCAGTGGCCCCAGACTGGGCTGGTTGTCAATTGTGATGACAAAATACACCAGCGTGTCACTTAAGGATGTCCTTGATAGAGCAGTGAAGTACGTGTCTTTTCAATAATGCTGGTAATGACCTGGGAAGAAGCACGTGGGCTGGTTACCAGCACACGACAGCTGTCTGCAAGATAAACCCTCATGAACTGGTCTGCACTGTCGGCTGAAGTAGCCCCTTTGTCCGTGGAGCATCCCTTTTACGCAAAAGAATGGCTGACAGACAAAAAAATGTATTCAGAACTGGGTATCTGGTAGACATTTTCTCCAGAACGAACAAAGTGAGCCTGTCCCTTCAAGGAAAATAACTGATAGCATTTGTTGCCAGTGATAAGTTTGAACATTTAAGGAAAAATTAGAATTCTGGAAAACCTGAATCAGTCACTGTAAATCTGAAAGCTTCCTAAAACAAAAAGATTTTGCAATGATGCTAACACATGCAATTGTGGGATATGATGAAATGAACTGTCCCACATTTGGAAGATCCAAACTCAATGAACCAGTATTTTCCCAATCACTGATAGATGTTACCAAACCACACCTGGTCAAAGAGCCATTCACTCAGACAGTGAATGAATTCAGAGACTCCAATGAATTTTAATGTAACAAAATATGAAAAGTTCATCAATGTGTTTTCAGATTCTATATTCCCTTTAAGAAATTATTACTTTTATGTAGCATCAAAGGAAAATATCCTCAGGCTAACAAAATACTCCTGCCTTTTCCAATGACTTACCTGTGTGAAACTAGATTTTCTTCCTATACTTCAACTGATCGAGATATCATGACAGACCAAATGCAGGAACAGATATCAGAATCCAGCTGTCTTCTAATCAATCAGACATTAAAGAGATTTATAGATTGTCAAACAATGCCACTTATCCCACTGTATTTAAAACATAGTTATTTTTCAGAAAAAAAAATTATTTATGTGTAACATATAATGGGTTTGCTATTGTTATTTTGAAATGAATGTATAAATATGTCTTTAAATATACTGTTTTAATTCCTAACATGGCCAATATCAATTTATAAATATATCACCCACATAAACAAGAGCTCTTTGAGGCTTCAATTTTTAAGAGTATAAAAAGGGTATAAAAGATGGGTATAAAGAGTATAAAGGAAGCAGTATTGAGACTAAAAAGTTTGCAAATAGCCATGGTTTCACCTCCACCATAACCCACTGGTTATTGTGGCCTAGCATCCCATTTTTTGCAGGTACAGACACTGAGGCACAGGGAGACTGCGTAATCTGCTCAAGGGTACATGGGTGGCCAAAAGCCTCCAAGCGCATGCATGCTCTTAACCACTCAGCTGTCCGTCACCTAACATCACGCTCCCAAGGTAAGCAGAGAAGGATGAACAATGACACACTACAACGGGAACCAGAGAAGTGAAAAAAGAGAACATAAGTAAATATTTATATAATCTTGGGGCAGCAAAGAACTTCCTATGCAAAATGCTAGGGGATAAATATCGTAAAATATTGACAGAGCAGACTACATTATAAAATAGTCAGCTTATTAACAAACTTGAGTCAGTTGAACTGAGATGGACAAACCTAGAGCCTGTTATACAGAGTGAAGTAAGTCAGAAAGAGAAAAACAAATATCATATGTTAATGCATATATATGGAATCTAGAAAAATGGTACTGATGAACCTATCTGCAGGGGAGGAATAGAAACGGAGACGTAGAGAAGGGGCTTGTGGACACAGCAGAGGAGAGGGTGGGACTGGGACGACTTGAGGGATCCATTACTAGTGTAAAACAGGTAACTAGTGGGAGGTGGCTGTGTAACACGGGGAGCTCAGCCTGGTGATCTGTGATGACCCACAGGGGTGGGATTGGGGGTGGGGAGGGAGACTCAGGGGGAGGGATTATATATGTATACTGACGGCTGATTTACACTGCTGCAAAGCAGAAACTACACAACACTGTAAAGCAATTGTCCTCCAGTTAAAAATAAATTTTTTAAAAAATGGTCAGGTTCCATCTAACACAGAAAAACCACAGAGTTATATGACAGCTGACAAATGGGATAAAAATATTTTCAACATACTTTTATTATTTATCATCTTATATAGAGGGATTTTTTTAAATGAGACAAGTATATCTTAAAAGTAAAGCGTACAAAAAAAAAAAAAGAGAGAGAGAGACAACAAAGAAGAAATACAAATGACTGATAAATATGAGAAAAGATATTCACCCTAAGCTGTAATTTTAAAACTGGGAGTGGCTGCCACATGTTGCCTTTCACGGCCTCACAGGTTCAGCAGGGTGAAAACACCTGGTCTCTGCAAGGGTGCCAGGGATGGGCGCCCTCCTAAGGACGGGGCAAGGTGTAAACTGGCATGGCTCCCTGGAGGACAAACTGTCAATAATAATGCTAAAGTACCTTAAAAATGTACAACCCTTCAGCAATTTTTCAACTGAGTCACAGGAAATACTCAAAGATATGGCCACAAAGGTGTTCAGTACAGCTTTGTTTACATTAGTCAAAGACTGGAAACATCTCTCACATCAACAGTGGTCGAAGCTGAACATACCACAGACGTCATCACATCATCATTCAAACAGATGGAGCCTCAGATGACGGTCGCTAACAGACTGTGGAGCCAAAGAAGCCAAACTAAGCAAACACTATATGATTCCATTTGTCTAAAACTCAAAATCAAGCCAAACTGGTGCATGGTGCTGGAAGTCACGTCTGGAGCAGGAAAGAGGGGGTGGCGATGGGGTTCGGGGCCAGGGTGTTGCAGGAATTATGTTCTTTGATCTGGTAAAGCTCTGAAGGCTGTGCTCAATTCATATGACCATCAAGCTGTCCATCTGTGATGTGTTGTTAAACTCCAGCTTAAGAGTTTCA